TACAGAAAAAGTTTGCTGAATTCCAGTCTAAAAGTAAAAGATTGCAGATTATGCTGTAGAAATTGCTTTGAGCATTTTCCTACAATGTGTATTAAAAGTAAATAAATTTAAAAAGCACATATTACTCTTGAAATAGCTTCCTTAAAAGTTTTCTATAATACACTAAAATACCACCTGAGAAATTTTACAGCCAAATAAATGCTTCTTTTTTCAAGTTATCATGAAATAAATATTCAAGCCTGTATATGTAAAGTCTTAGCAAAACTATTCAGACTTTATTTCCTCAACTAAAAGACTGTCATTATGTTTTCTTATCTCTTCTTACCATCAGAAGAATTTCCTTCTCTATTCTTTCATTTACATTCCCTTTACATCAACTGAAAAAAATATGTTGTTCTCTGGACCAAGCAATATTTCCCTTTTTTCTTCTCTGTTGACTTTTCTTTACCCAGTTTCCTTTCTAAAATAACCTTTTGACATAAATATTCTGATGATCTGTTAAATAAGCACATTCAAATTAAGCAAATAACTCAAAACGCTCTAGAAGAACATAATTGAAAAAGGAAAGAGAAAAAAAACAGTAAAATTATCCAAGGAATTAAAGATCCCAAGTACAGTCTTCATGGATAGTCAATTTATGATATAAACATCATTCCTTTAGTCACACCATCTTAAGACACCTTTGATAAAAATTAGGACAGCTATACCAATGAAGTTATTTTCTCCAACAGTACTAACTTCATTCAAATAAAAACATACAAAACCTAGAGAAATGGTAAACAGAATATCCTCAGTGTTTCAAATAACAACAGTATATATTTACGCAGGAAGCACTTGAGTATCTAACACAGAACAACTAAAAATAGCAAAGCATAATTCACAAATAATATTAAGAAACTATAAATGCATTTCACTACAGATGAAATCATTTTGACAGAGGTTTTTAAAGAATTATAAAGAGTATCCCTTTTTCATTTTTTATTGGCTTTGAAAATCTCAATTTAAAAAAGACATTCATGGGCATA